GCCCAGTCTCTAGTTGCTTACAGTGGAGGTATGCCCATTCATTATGCTTAGAAGTGGAAGTCTGCTTTGATTTTTACTGAAGACCATAAGCAGCAGTGGTTATGTAAATTCTGTTTCTACATTTGCCATTACTGTTGAGAACATTCATACATTGTTCAATATCCCCTGTACAATACAACACTGCAGAAATGAGTTATATAATAATTCCTGTTTCTTTCTTTTGTTTTTTGCCTTGTATGCATGGACAAAATCAGTCAAGATTTGTACTAGATCATCACACTTTTGTTGGCCTGGATGTTTGCATTCTGGCTTTCTACTTAATCTTTTTTTCCTTTTTTTTTTTTTTGACCACACTGTGCGACTTGTGGGATGTGGGATCTTAGTTCCCCGACCAGACATTGAACCCGGCCCATCAGCAGTGAGAGCATGGAGACATAACCACTGGGCCGCCAGGGAATTCCCTATTCCTATTCTATTAATCTTTTTGTAAAAGCAATAGCCTATACCCCTGTAGCACATTTTTTTTTCTTTCCTTCCCTCCCCTGTATTAGGTAGTTTTTTGATTGCATTGAATAAAGACATTGTGATTACCTTTAAGTAACTGAGTTTAAGGATTTACAGGAAAAGATGAAGATTAGAGGCTCAGCTACATAGCTTGGCCTCATAATAAAAAGAATCAACCATAGAGCCAGGCCCCCTCAGAAATGGATGTCTTTGTTTCCTTTTCAATAGGTTTTCCTGCTGAGTTAGTGATTCTGGTACTTCTAATCTTATCTCTCTCTATGACTAGTGCTTCTGCTGCTCTCTATTAGCTATCTCAAGTGTCTGTCCTCTCCTAGAGCCCTACCTCTGTGTGCTGTTCTCTCTCTTGTTCTCATTATTAAAGCTCACATTCACATTCCAAGGGAGAGTATCTGATTGATTCACTTAATGACCTGTTGGTGCCAGGCCAGATCTTAGGTCATTAGCCAGCAGAGAGTCTCTGTTCTTGGTCGTGTGGTACAAAGTATGGTGATGTATAAGACCTGTCAGAAGGGCCATTGGCATAGCAAGCATTCAGCGTTATCATTACTCCTCCTTTATAACAGCTGCATATTTATAGATTGTTTCGGTGAACCGCTGATCTCATCTCTGAAATGTTGAGGTTTTTTCCTCCTAATTTCATTCTTAGATGAATTTCATTCTTAGCCACAAAACAAAGGACAGTCTTCACCACCTTTTAGCCACAACTTAAAATAAACCCATGGTACTGATTGTTGGTCCAAGAAAGCCCATCTGTTGGAAACTATGAAAAGAGAAAATTTAAATGTTTCTATTCTTGTTAGCATCTCTAAATTTGGAGGAAGAAGAGATTGAAGCTATGAGCTGAAATAAGGTTTTTGGATTAATAGCCCCACATGGGTTTGAATCCTGGCTTTCCCATTTACTAGATGATAGATGAGTATCTTTTCTAAGCTTCAGTTTATTCATGAATAAAATGGAGATAATGGTATTTGCCTCATGTGGTTGTTAGGATTAAGTGATAGGATACATGCAAAGCAGTTAGCAAAGTGCCTGGCACATAATAAATGCTTGATAAATATTAGCTCCCATTATCTCTAGATCATTAACCCTTATTAATAATAAAGGTTACCCTGGTACATCAGTTAAGTTCTTGGTGCTAATGAAAACTAACATTACTTGGTACATAAGCCGAGACAATAGTTATTGAGCCTTTGTTTACTCAGCGCTGTGCTGAGGTACCAACTGGGTATACAAGACATATTGCAATATGATTCTTGCTTTCTAATCCACACAGTGAAATGTCAGTCCTAGAAAATTTTTCAGGAAACTCAACCCTATGATGGTATTCTGTTATTGGAATTTGGGCTCTGTCACTAGCTGTGTGACCTTGGACCAATTACTTCTCTGTGCCTCTTCATCTGTAAATTGGAGGAAATATCTCATAGGATTATTGTAAGGAATAAATATGTTAATATATGTAAAGCACATAGGATACTGCCTGATACATGGTAAATGCTATATGTAAGTTGCTGCTGCTAGATTATGACGCCTAGCAGTTGAATACTTGAAGCCTCATTGGGCCTAATTGATCAGTCTTTTCTTTTAGTTTAAAGTGAATAGGTTTCTTTGTAGGAGGTTTATAGGTATATCTTTAGTCTCCATCGTCAGGACAGTTTTATAGAGTCTACGTGGTAAGAGATGAGTAAGCTGAAGGACATGGTCTGCAGATAATCTTGTCCCATTTGAGACTGGACACCAGACTTTCCATATCTTGCCAGCCCTCCTTTGGTGATGCTTTGGCAAGAAAAATGTATCTTGAAATTCTTGGAAAGCTGATTTCCTCACCATTGAAATGTCCTTTTTGTGGGGGCTAGAGGGAGGGGGATGCTAGTGATATGAAAGTATGGTAAAGGAAAAGCAATTTGAGTAGAGACCTTTGATTTTAGCTTAACAAATCAAACAGGCAAGGGATTTTCTAATCAAAAGCTACTTCTCTCTTAAAGGGAAGACTCATTTCTTTTTTTTTTTTTTTTTTTTTGCGGTACGCGGGCCTGTCACTGTTGTGGCCTCTCCGCTGCGGAGCACAGGCTCCGGACGCGCAGGCTCAGCGGCCATGACTCACGGGCGCAGCCGCTCCGCGGCATGTGGGATCTTCCCGCATCAGGGCACGAACCCGTGTCCCCTGCATCGGCAGGCGGACTCTCAACTACTGCACCACCAGGGAAGCCCAGGAAAACTCATTTCTGATTTGTATTTCCTTCTCAAGAAGTGAGATTAATATGTTTTATTTCCATATTAGTGAGATTGAGCACCTTTTCATTACGTTTATTGATTACTTGTATTAGTTTTGAGAATTACCTATTCATGTCCTTGACCTCTTTTGTTTTGTTTGATGAGGAGACTTATCTTTGCAGAATAAGGTACACTTCAGGTACATTTTTCATTTTGTCAGTTGTCTTCTTTTACCCTTGGTTGTCCTTTTTTATTTTAACTGCATAGAAACATTTAATGTAATGAATCTATAAATTTTTGCTGAAAAGTATCATCTCATTATGGTTAGAGAATTTCTGCTGAGTGTTATAAAGCATGTCATAGTTTATATGTAGACTGATCCACTTAATAAGCATTTTTTTCCTTATAAATAGGTGATTGATTGTCACAGGCTTTGAAGAGTCTTTGCAAACTAACATAGTCCCGAGGCTGTAACACCATAATAATAACAGCTACCACTTGCTGCACACTGCCTGAGTGCCAGCAGATATGCTAGGTCTTTTATGTACTATATCCCTAATATTTAAGTTCAAGCAAAATATTATTATTGTCCACATTTCATAGATAAGAGGAATGATTTACCCAGGGTTACAGAGCTAGTTAGTGGCTGGATTGGAATTTTAACTCAAGTCTGCCTAAACTCCAAAGTATATACTTTTTCTACAGAGTTGAGCTTCTTGAGGCTTCAAATAAATTATACTGGTCCTAAAAGTTAAGTAAATATCTTCTACCAGAACATGAAAAGATGGTCTGTCGCCTAGTTTGACAGCTCTTGGTTCCTGAGAGCAGAATAGATACGATCATGAGAAGTATGTAAACCAGCTGAAAGAAGGGTCTCCACTGTCTAGGGCAAAGGTTTTCAAAATGTGGTTCCCAGACCAGCAGCAGCAGTAGCATCACTTGGGCGTTTGTTACAAAAGCAAATTCCCGTGTCCCACTCCAGACCTACAGAATCAGGAACTGGGGTTGGGGCCCAGCAACCTGTTTTATATTTGCAGCTGATGATGATGCACGTTAAAATTTGAGAGCCACTGGTCTAGGGGAGTTATTCTCTCTAACCACAATTTTTGGTTTTGTGAGCTTCAGCCGAATTCTCAGCCCGTAAGTGCAAAATAAGCATTATTAAATAGTGGCAAAAGCATGGAATCTAACAAGAGCCGGTTTTTAGTCCAGTTTAATAATCATTTAAGGCAAGTTCACCTCCCTGAGCCATAGTTTCCCATCTCTAAAATGATTTTAATAAAAATCTATCTCCCGGGCTTCCCTGGTGGCTCAGTGGTTGAGAGTCCGCCTGCCGATGCAGGGGACACAGGTTCGTGCCCCGGTCTGGGAAGATCCCACATGCTGCGGAGCGGCTGCGCCCGTGAGCCATGGCCGCTGAGCCTGCGCGTCCGGAGCCTGTGCTCCGCAACGGGAGAGGCCACAACAGTGAGAGGCCCGTGTACCGCAAAAAAAAAAAAAAAAAAAAAAAATCTATCTCCCTACAAGATATTTTTTCAGAATTAGTAAGATAACATGTATAGTGCCTAGCACCTTGCCTGGCTCCCAGGTGTTTGAGAAATTGCCTCCAGTTATTTTTCTTGTTTAAGCAAAAAGCCCCTACCCGCCTTCTATTCTCAACTTCTCTTGTTTCTTGAATGTATTTTGCTGTCTTGTGTCTCTGGGCCTTTATATTAGCTATTTCTACTGGATATCCCTACCTCCCACCCCTCCCACTAACGTCTATACATCCTTTAGATCCCTGCTTATAATTTACTTCCCCTGGAGGGGACTTTCTCTAACCCCCACTCCCCAGTCTCTGTACTCATAGCAGCATGTATTTCTCCTGTCACTACATATCAAAGTTTTCGGAAACTGGTTTTTGCCCGGTTTTGCAAAGTTTTTGCCCGTCTTCTGTATAAACTTCATTGGGCAGGTCCAGTGTCTTGTCTGTACCATATTCTAGGACCCAGTAAAGTTTCTCACACATTATAGGAGCTAATAAATTAATGTTGAATGAATGAATGGTGGCTGTCATTATTGCTGCTTCTTCATCATCATATCATCCAAGAGCAAGCTCTCTTCTCTGGCTTATAGTTTTTGCGCTGACTGCTTGTGATAATCATAAATAGATAGTATTAGGACCAGTGCCTGTTTTCTCCTTCCCTGAAAGTACATGTTTTGACCTAGGCTGACATGGTAGTTCACTGAGCTGCTTCCTAACCACTGATCTCTCTGTATCACAGGTACCTTGGGGGAGCTGTGTGCCTTGATGGGTCAAGTTCATCACATGCAGAACCCCAAATGGCAGCATCCTTCGGACCTCACCAGGCGGTGAGTGGGTGTTTAGAAGAAGGAAGAAAAGGGTAGAATTTTGCTACAGGAGAAATGTGGTAGGGCTTTGGTAGGGCTGTAATTGTTGTTTAATTCCAGGGGTAGAGAAAGAAGTGATATAGTGTAATAGAATAAGAATTGGACTGAAATTCAGGAAACCTGGGTTCTAATACTGGCTTTGCCCTTTTTAACTAGCTATGTGATTTTGATCAAATCACTTCACTTCTCTGGTCCTCACAACAGTAAAATTAAGATATTGGACTAATTGATGTCAAAGAGCCTTTCTAGTCCTGAAATCTTCTGGTTTCTTGATGCAGTGTGGTTTTACAGATTTATTCAGTTACTTGATCCAATTATTCAGAGACCTTGGAGTCATCTGTGATTCCTTTCTCTCTTACTCCATAGTCAGTGCATTAGCAAATTCTATAAGCTCTACGTATAATATATCCAAAACCTGATCATTTCTCAATCATTTTCACTTGGATTGTTGCAAGTCTCCTAAATGGTCTCCCTACTTCTGCCCTTGCCTGTCTACTGTTCTCAACTCAAGCAGCCAGAGAAATTCTTTTAAAGCATAAGTCAGATTCTCTCTTCTTTGCACAGAGTTTTCCAGTGGCTTCCCATCTCCATGATCACAAGTGCCTATATGTTTTGGTCTAGGCTGACTTGGTTAGCTCACCACCTTCATCTCCTCTACTATTCACTTTGCTCACTCTGCTCTAGTCACACTGGATTCCTTGCTATTTCTGTTTTTCATGCTATTTATTTATTTTTGGCTGCATTGGGTCTTCGTTGCTGTGCGCGGGCTTTCTCTAGTTGCAGCGAGCGGGGGCTACTCTTCATTGCGGTGCTTGGGCTTCTCATTGCGGTGGCTTCTCTTGGTGGTGCACGGGCTCTAGGCGCACGGGCTTCAGTAGTTGTGGCTCACGGGCTCTAGAGCGCAGGCTCAATAGTTGTGGTGCACGGGCTTAGTTGCTCCGCAGCATGTGGGATCTTCCTGGACCAGGGATCGAACCTGTGTCCCCTGCATTGGCAGGTGGATTCTTAACCACTGCACCACCAGGGAAGTCTCTCCTTGCTATTTTTCAAGTATGTCAGACGTGCTCCCACATCAGGGCCTTTAAACTTAGTGTTTTCTCTATAGTTGCCAAAATGACAGCAGTACTCGGAAAGGCAGTGTTGTGTAATAGTTATTAAATTCTGCAGTCAGATGTGAATTCAAATCCAGGCTCTTCTACTTACTCCACTCTACGACCTTGGGGAAGTTATTTTACCTGAGGCTTAGTTTCCTATCCTGTATAAGGAGTTAATGAGAGTACTTTTCTGGTAGGATTGTCATTAGGATTAAATGGTGTGAGATGTTTAAAGAATTCAGCAAGTATTTGCATATAGGGCTAGATAAACACCAGGTACTGTTAAAATTATTTTCAACCTGGGCTATTCCCCATAATCACCTATGGAGATGTCTAAAAATACAGATGTCCAGGGCTTGACTCAAGGGATTCTAAGTTATTAAGTCTAAGGGTGGAGAGAGGGGCCAAGAATCTATATCTTTACATTAAAGCTTCCCAGGTGGTTATTAGACAAGCTGGAGTTGAGAACGGGATGAAATTATCTCAGAGGGTCCTGCTCGGAACCCCAGCCCAGTACACGACTAAAGGAGGCTCTCAAGAAACTTTGAGTCTGTTCAGTTTCTAAACTTGCAGTGTGATTCTCACGTGATGCTTACCTTCTCTGGGAATTTTATTCTAATTTTAACTGCTGTGTCCTGAGCAACCTTGAGCTGTGTCAGACAGTGAAGTCCTGTTGGAGGTACAGGTCTGATGCAAGCAATAAAATATAGATCCTGTTCTAAATGTTTCCAGAGGGAGAAAATGGGTTTTTCCTGCTTAAACATTATTATACATTATACATTGGGTTTTCTTAGAACATTCATGTATATGGACCATATCACCATAATACCTGTATGGGAATTAGGTGGCTTTGGAAATTGGAAGGAAATAGAACTTATAGTGTGACTTTCATATAAGGAAAATAATACAAAATTTCTAAAATTATGAGAATCGAAATATAAAATGAATATCCAATTTCCAAAAGTAACAATATTCTTTAAATAGTTTTCTTGGCCTTTTTTGTATACAAATGACCATTCCAGCTGAAACCCTCATTTGTCCTTTTTTTATTTTCCCTCTCTGCTGATAGAAACTACGCCCGGTTCCGACAGAAGTCTCTGCAAAGATACAGTCTGACTCAGTGGGTTGACCAGAACATGCGAAGCCACCATCGGTTCCAGCGTCTACCAGATTTCCCGTACAGTCCATTTGTCTCCTCCCATCAGCAGTGAAGGTCCCTATCCAGGGTCCTGTCCAGAGCAGCGTCTCATCTTCTGCTGTTTTGTGCTTTGTAGATTTTGAAATTTATTTTTCACAACATTTTAATTTAAAGAACTCGTCACCTTTAGGAAATGCCCATTGCTGACTTGAAATTTTTTGTATAAGGTCCTTCCTGTTTATGTGTGTGTATGCATTTAAGCAGTGTTGAGTTGATAATAGTTTTAATTTTTTAATTTAAATTGAAGGTGGCTGCCGCCTGAAAGCCGGCATTAAGTCAAAACACCCAGAATCAAGCAAAACACCCACCTCTATGCAGAGGTGAAGTCTACTTCTGGTGCCCAAAAGAAATCATCTTTTAATCTCCTATGAGGAAGGGATTCTTTATCAGGCTGCAAGCCAGTGTTAATTATTGCTGATGACTTATAAATGGATACAAGTCACTTTTAACAACGCCTCTTACCTTTTTTATTTGAATCTCCGAATACCTGTCAGTATTTTAAAGTTGGTAATCCAGGACATCTGAAGTAGTTGAAAGGACAAATTAGAAGTGTAAATCTTTTCTTCTTTTTGTACCTACTAGCTGCCTTTATGTTTTGGCTTTTTTTTTTTCATTTTTCATTAAATTTATTTTGCACAATAGTGTTTACAAATCGTGTACATCTTAACTCTAACAGAAGACTGGTGACTAACAACCCCTGTTGATTTGTGATCTTGTGACTGTCTGCCTTCTCTGCCTTTCTTCAAGGATATTCCTTCTTTTTTCCCCAGTGAACTTAGGGCTCTACCGGCATATTCCTGTATCCTGTTAGACATAGATATGCCTCTTAAGAACAGCCTTACTGTGCTCTTTATTGAAGAGCCACCCACCCAGAGTCTTGACTCTAGGACAGGCCAGAAAGCAGTGCTATTGAGAGGTGTCAGTTGGTCTTCAGTTTCATCTGCTGAACTCCAGTTCAAGTATGAGTTGACGTGTTAGTGAGCTTCCATCCTGTGGGAGAGACTTTGGAGAAGCTGTCTTTTGTCTCCATTATTAGTTAATAAGAGGTGCCTTTTGATCCAGCATCTCCTTACTTGGTCAAACCTCTGATGTACAGTTTTACAAAACTACTAAAGTGAATCTAAAATAGTTTTGATTAAGCCTGTGCACAAAGCATTTCCTGATCTTAAGGGTAATGCTATATGCAGCTATCTTAACGGATGTCTTAGGAGTTTGTTATTCTCTTTACAGACAGCTCTAGACATCTATTGGGAGATTTTGCGGTCTGGCATTTGTGCTGTTGTTCACTCTGTGTGACGGTTGTACCTAGTTGCTATAGCACAGCCTGTGATACTGGGCTCATTGCCTCTGTCTGGTTTTGTTGTTCCATCAGCCCCATCTTTGTATGCAAGTAACCCATCTTAAACATCCTACCCTGCTTTAGAAACTGACTTGGGAGAAACTTGGTCATAGTTACCAGTAAACTTAGATGGATATCCCTAAGTGTTAACTATTTCTATCCAGTCAAGGATTCTCTTTTCCTTCGACATTTGGTTTAGAGTCTGGGACCAAAATGCAAAGGAGAAGTTCTGTTCAAAGGCAAGAGTCAAAATCTGTTATTTCAGTTGGCATTTCCTTTATCAGTCACTTCTCCAGGTTTCCATAAATTAGTTTGATGGAGTGGGACAAACATCCACCTTTGGAACTATAGCATAGTTAGAATTAATTGTTGCTGGAATAATTAGCATTGCAGCTGTCTTGTTCCCCACAGATAACCAAGGAGTAAAGGGACAGCCTTTTGCTTAGGCAAAAGTCTAAGACTCATGTTCTTGCCTCCCTGGTACAGGAGGGTTTAAGACTGATGTGTAATGGGAGCATCGCCTTTGCCAAATCAAATGAGTGATGGGTTAACGAGAAAATGTGACAATCACATTTCCTCTTTGCTCAAATAATTCTGTTTTTCAAGCTTTAGCAGCTTAATTAAATCTGTTGGACTGGGGGAGGAGAGAACTGTTCCCTGGCGGTTAACATGGTATTCTTTAAGAAGAAAAACAAAGCCAAAGAAGACTCATTATCAGGCATGTTCACCTTAAAGATGGTAGTGGGTAGAATCTGGAGTTTTAATCTGTTTTTAAAAGCTACATATCTCACATTTAGTGTTGGCCTCTAAGTCTAATTTTCATGTAGAATTCTTGCCCTGTTTTATTTACATAAGCGTTGTGTGCATTTAACTGCCTACCTAGCTTTCTTTATCTGTGATGACATTCTCGCCACGGGGGTCTTGACAATGCAGAGTAGGAATGTGCTGTTTACATAGTTTACTTGTATATAAAGAGCCTGAAATAACCTTAGTTTTGCATCTAATGCAGGCCCCAATTTACTTTGGTTGTTGTCAGGATCAATTATGAAAGTGAAGTTTTGTGCCTCCTCTTTATCATGTATTTCCCCTTGTAGCAGTTGTGTTTAATGTCATTACGAAGAAATAAAAGTTCTTGTCGGTGGCTTATGTACCGTGGCCGTCTATTGCGGGCTCTGAAGGAGGGCTCCTTCCTTCTTTGTGCAGGTGGGTTAGTGGGGTGTGGGAGGGGCGGCAGTTAGTAGAATGTGGTACCGGGGAGGCGAGGGTGTGTGCTCCCTGTTCTTTTGAGGGTAAATTACAGTGTTAAGAAAGGCGTTCCAGCAGTTAAGAAATGTTGAAATTGATTGGGATTTGCAGCTACATATAGTGCACATCAGGAGCGTGACATAGGGAGAGCCTTAAATATCACTGTGCTGCTGTTTTTGCAGAGGGGGAAAATGTTCAGCCCCGTCACACAGGCATTGCCTCGCATTCCTTCCTGTGGCTGATGGCTGACCCCTGTGTCTCTCTGCCTCTCCAGAGCCAGCACTGATAAGGAAGAAGCTGAGCTACCTGGGGCATTCTCCCTTTGAAAGGGATGTGAGAAACCAGAATTGATAGTTGTTCTTAACCCAACTTCTCCAGAAATTGTTCCTAGAACCTGGGGTGAAGGTTGGATAAGTGTGGGTAGATGTGGGAGACAGCGTTAGATCACTTTTGTGAACCTAAGCTTCTTAGACTCACCCCAGGAGCAAAGATGAAAAGGAAGGCAGTAAGAGCTTGTCACCTGTATTAGCCAATGCTTTACAGTCTCAGCTTGTGCTGAGACATTAAGTAGCAACATATTTGGATAGGCTTCTCTGTCCTACTGTCCTGTAAGTTTTGTTTGTTTGTTTTTTGCGGTACGCGGGCCTCTCACTGTTGTGGCCTCTCCCTTTGCGGGGCACAGGCTCCGGACGCGCAGGCTCAGCGGCCATGGCTCACGGGCCCAGCCGCTCCGCGGCATGTGGGACCCTCCCAGACCGGGGCACGAACCCCTGTCCCCTGCATCGGCAGGCAGACTCTCAACCAGTGCGCCACCAGGGAAGCCCTGTCCTGTAAGTTTTTAACATGTAGCCTTCAGTCCAGGTGAAAGCCTCAATATAAATTTTCTAAATACTCAGCTGTTTAATATTCTTGTCTGAATCCGAGGGTCCCTTGACCTATACATACACATATCCATTTTGTCCTCTCAGGTGTAGGTGTTCCTTTGTCCAGTAATTGCTTATTTCCTTTTTAGCAATGTGTTATTGTAGGCCTCAAAGGTTTCAGAGACTAGGCTGGATTCTCTGTGCTGGTGGCGTCCTTTACCCTCAGTTCGTTTTATGTTGTGGAGAAGTGAGGAGGAGGAGAAATGGACCTTCTCTAAAAGCTCATTCTCTAAACAGCCTGTTGTGAACTTTTACGGGAAGAAAAAGTCCCAACCACCTAAAACTAGAAAGCAGAGTTTCCTGCTTTTCTAAGAGAAAACAATTATTCCTAAGCTGATTCTAGGGTATGCTTGTTTTGTAGGCCAGAGCACCTGTCAGGAAAAAAATGTCCACTTGTCACAGGAAGTATCAACTGGCCAACGGTGGAATTCCTTAATTAAAAGCTCCCGCCCTGTCACTCCTCCCCACCTGTCTTCCCCCTATGACAACTGGAACATGCCACAGACAGAAAAATCTGACCCTCCCAGCACCCACTGGGAAGCGGTGGAATGTAATCTTTTGGACAACCTTTAAAGCCATCTAGTTCTGAAATGCTGTATCACTAAGGAATTATTTGTATACAAAGATCTCCTTCAATTCGGCTTCAAATAACATTTGAGGGTTTGGGAGTATTGTACCGATGGAGCTTGGGGGGTGGGGTGTCCCATTTACAAAAGCATTTTTTTCTTGGTCGCTACTTTTTAAAAGCAAAATCCAAAATCTGTCAAATAGGTTTAAAGAGGGTGAAGAAAGTAGAAGTCTGAAACATTACGTGACTGGGGTGGTGAGATGTTAAATATTTCTGTAAAGGGTTGAACTAGAGATCATAAAAGTGGGTTCGAAAGGAGGCCTACGCTGAAAAGCTGGGGTTGAGGGGACTGGACTGGAGAGAAGAAAGACTCGTGCCTCATAGAAACACCAGTCCTCCTTCCTTTCCGTAGACCCTGGGGTCTGTCTCCTGTCCCATAAGGAAGCCCTTTGGCTCCTACTCTAGGTGGTGGGTGGGGTCTGGGAAGCCTCTGTTCTTACCCCTTGGTTTTTGACAGATAAGGAGTCCAGGGCCCCATCAGAGAAGTAACTGGCCTGAGGGTCTCCTGCCTCAGTCCACCGTTCCTCCCACAGACCTGCTGTGGTCTTGCAGGGCAGGTCTCTCAGTCTCAGACAACTTGCCTGAGCCCTTCCCAAGCTGTGGGGAATCTGCAGATCTAAGTGAGGGGTGAAGAAAGGACCACAGCCCAAGTCACAGCCATAGGCTTCCACTGTGTCACTAGTTGATTCGGGAAGAGTTCAGTTGTTGTAGAACTTGGGGGTTTAGGGAGGTGATTAAAGGGAACGGTGTTTAGTGAGGCGTGTTGTTCACTCCACTCCCCTCATTCCCTAAGATGTGCTACAGGCACAGATAAGGTAAAGACAGCAAACTCCCATTAGCGGCACTCCCTGGACCCCACTGACAGCTGTCTATACCTGATGCTGACTTGGAGTTTCTCCATCATCTGGCACTAAACAGGCACAGAGGACCTGGGAAGTACCTCTCTGAGGTTTGGCTGGCAGTTCTGCGTGCTAATCGATTACCCACTCTCCCACCCAGCCTGTAAGACCTGCTCCCCTCTGCTCTCAGAACCTTCCAGAACAGCCTACCCTAAGCCCCACTCACCTGACATTTCCTAAGCTCCTCCCGGCTCTGGACAGAAATGTTCAAGGTGCCCCATTTACTGGTTTGCTCATTGGCTAATGGCATCATTCCTCTACCTCTCAGCCTGCTGCGGGATCAGAGTGATGTTCCTTTAACATCCCCGAACAGCATGCTGTGGATCCTGAGCTGCAGCGAGCAGCTTCTGCAGTCCCTCTTTACTTCCCCCTCACGCTGGGAGAAGCAGGACTGCATTCCCTTTGGCCAGGAAAACCACCAACCCCATCCAGAGGGGAAAACCCTTTGTTTTAAAAACTGAGCTCCAGCCTGCATACCTATGCGGTGAGGCAGCCCAAGCTCGGTTTTGGGGGGCGGGGGGCTCAGTAATGGGATGATAGAGCAACTATTTTCTCCTCTTACACGTGCACCCCCATCTGTTCGAGATTTCCCTTCCAACTCCAGCTTGGCTGGCAGGCTTGTCCCTAAGAAGCTGCAGGCCAAAATGGAGAGAACTGACTCCCTCCTCCACACGTCCTGATTTGCTGCCAACTGCCAGAAAAAGAGGGCAACACTTGGGCATTTACCAGAAGACGAGGATGTGCCTTTTCATATGTCTTTTTATTTTATATTTAAAAAGTGGTTATTGCTCTAACTGAATCAGAGGTAAGGACCTCTCCCCTAAGGAGCCTTGGCCTTGCAGCCCCATTCAGCAGGGATGGAAGTCACAAGACAATGAGTGGAGCCTCATGCCCTCCCATGAGGAAGCCCTTAGTGTTGCTGACATCTGCCTTTCACCCTGTCTCTCCTCCCTCTCTGTGCTCCACACTCGGGCAAAGCAGAGTGGCAGCTGCCCCAGCCCCGAGAGCTCTTGTAGACCGCAAAGCAGGGGCGGTCACTGGGGAATGGCTTTCAGCTCTCTGGCTTGGCGGTCACCGCGCTTCTCATTCAGTTCAGCAGGTACTCACTGGGCGCCGAATGCGTGCCAGGCTTGTGCCAAGCGCAGTCGCCCACACTGTTGTCCTTAGCCACGAATGGAAGACGCAGAGGTCCGTCTCTTCCTATGCAGGCATCCAGCAGCCGCGACTTGTCAGTCCTAGGGAAGGGTCTGCCTTCCTTAGCAAGCACCATTTGTTTTTTAAACCAGAAAGAGGCAGTGGAGGGAGAGACCTGTCACCTCACACCACTCAGGCTCTAGGGAAGGACATGAGGACCCTGGGTAGCTTTCACGAACCCTGGATGAGACGGCAAGATATGGAGACCCCAGAGGTCAGGACTGCTCTGACTGTCCATGGTGAATGGCTCGGGCCTGCCTTCCAGCAGCGTCCACCCCAGAGGGGGTGATTTAGCAGCCCCCAGGGTGTCCCATGTGGATGTACCTTTTCAGTTGTGCAAGCCAGCACTGTTGCAACTCCAAGAGACTTTTCCTAAAGAAATGGGGCCAGTACCTTCCAGGTCTCTTTCCCACTTTGTCTCCTTCAGACCCCAGACTGATGATCTTACAGTCAAAATAAGGGCCAAAGAAGACAGAGGACACAGGCAACCAGCTCGGGGAATCCCTCTGCCCTCTGGAGTGAAGCCCTTCGGTTGTGTTTTCCAAAAGAGACAGAACAGATAACATCTTACACACTCGCAAAGTTGTGCATCACGCCACAAACAAGTCCCTGATGGCTGGATCCAGCAAAGGCCTGATGGCAGCCAGGCCCCTGCCCGGCAGGCAGCCCCACAGCTTCCCTGAAAGACACAGCTTCTGTCAGTCTAGGTGCTTGTCATCTCCCAGGAGCTTTGTGCATTTTCTCAAAGAGGAAGCCAGTCCAGGAGAGGCGAGGAGGCAGAAAGATGGCTGTGTCTCATGCAGCTTTGCCTTTTCCAGAACAGGGCCAGGCCTTTTAGTTTTGTGGCTTATTTTTTGCAGAATTTGGGTTTGCAGTTCAGCCTTCTTCACCAGACTAGGATGGGGGGGGCAGAGGGAGAACTGTGCAGCTAGCTGTGCCTCCCCCCATGGCAGTCCTCTTTCTCCCTGTGCCCATGGACCTGGGGACCAGCAGAGAAGAAAAATGAAATCCTTCTCCCTGCAGACAGGCAGTCATGCTTCGATGATGTTCACCGAGGGCTTGTTTGGAAACTGGGAGGAAAAAAAAATGAGAGAAGCGGCCAGGGCTAAATTGAACAGACTTCTTGCAAGGATGGAAACAGGGAGAAGACACCAGAAGGAAGGGAGCAGCAGGGCTGCAGCCTAAAAGCCAGGCTCTTGTCTCAGGTGGAAGGAAAGGAGGAGCCCTGCCTGGATGTCTTATCTCTCTGCCT